TGTATGTAAATGAGAATTCTTTCTGTGTCTTTGAACATTTTTTACCAGTCCTAAGTAGCAGCAAATCTTAAAAAGCAGTGCTGATTCCTTTCTATTCTCAGCATTTCACTTTGTGTGCTCAAATAATTGGGGAGAGACAATAGGGAAAACTCATGGATCTTAATTATACATTCTGGCATGTACTTATGCCTACAATACAGACCTAAGCTACATAGTTAGAAAAAAACTAGATATTAAGAATAGTAGCATATGCTATTTGTCAGAAATGTACATTTTCACAGTCCTTTTTGGCAAAATTATGATTTAAGGGCTGATATAGCTGTCTTAGATTACAGCACTGCATTCTGATATTAAAGTTAGCTGGAAGGCATAGCTTTGTATTTCATCCACAGTAAGGACTCTGTTTCTTTAGTTATATGTTATTCCCATTCTCTTATTTGGTGACTCCTATGGCAGAATTTGGAAGAAAACTGTATTCAAAAGGGTTACAAATGAGTATTTAATTATAGATACATAGAATCTCTCTTTCAAAAGTATAAAGGCAAATGTTTTAAGTGTGTGGTGGGTAATAATTTACAAATACAAAATTAACATTTAAGTATAAGTTTATGGCAACAGCAAATGTCAAAAGTCTGCAGGGGGAACATTGCAAGATGATATTAGTAGACTTGTTTCAAAGTTATTTTTAGGATTCAAAATATTTAGTAAATAAAATCATCATGAAGACTGGTGGTTCTGTTTTGTTGAAGGTCTTTTAATAGGCATTAAATGTCTCTTTTTTTACTGAAACAATATGGAATTCTTTTTGTAAATGTTGTGTGTGCATGCTTCACCAAAGTGGGCAAAATAGGTGAAAGGCAATTTGGAAAATTTAAATAGAGATCTTCAATACATATGAGCAGAAACAAAAATGGTTCATGTTCTTTTATAGAGAGAATTTTTAAATTTCCTTTTATTTTACAAGTCTATTTTAAACAGTAAACAATTTTAAGGGTTTTTGCCACAGAAAATTGGGTAAAAAGCTTTCACCATGTCAGAGAGCTCAAGAGATTGCAGTTTTTAAATTGATTTCTTTTGTACGCTCCAGGTTGTTTTCAAAATAATTTTAAGTATTCAGACTATTTAAATATACAGAACAATAGGAATTTCACGTTTAATTGTAGTATCTCAGGCCACTGCCATCATTCTTGCTGCCTGCTGTGCAATTGCAGATGACATCTTCTGTGCTGTAAAGTGGCTGGAAGCAGTTACACAACTAAAGCTAGATAAAGGAAATAATTGTTAAGGTCTCATTGAAAGCTAAGCTAAGTGGTGAAAAATCTTGTCAATTTTCTCATTCCCTTTTAGTTTTGCAAGGATGCTAGGGCAATAAAGAGATATCTCCTGTAAGATAAGAAGCAGTAACAGAAAAAAGCTTCAAAGATTTGGCTAATTCTCTATACTTTCAGTGCTGCAGTTTGATATATCCCTTTTTCCAAATTATGGGTACATTGAGATATGCATATGCAACCGATGTGCTCAAAAAATTCTGTTCAAGATTTAGCTAAATGCTGCTTTTACAAACTGTATGTCTGAGAGCAAAGGGTTATTATAGTAAATATAAATATTCCAACTTGATTTTATAAATTCTATGGAATTTCTCATGTATGTTTGTACTGGAAGGCTTTTACAATTATATTTAATTTAATTGTTTAATCAGAATGAAGGAATACCCAATTGGAACTAAATATAATTTTTATAGGAGATTTCTTCCATTTAATTGACACTGAAAAAGAAAACACACACTCAAAAAGTGCTTTTCAATGGTAAAACCTATGAGTTTTAAAAGCAAGAATTATCTGTTGTATTAACTTGAGTGTTGTGTAGTATTTTTTTAATTAGGCCTAATGATTTTTGGTAAAAATAGTTTCATAATTTACACTTGTTGGAAGTGGGAAGTTATTACAGTGATGTTAAATTTGATTGATATCATGGGTTAAAAAATAAGAGACCTTTTTTTTTAAGCTAAACTGTATATTGGTTAAGTTTCTTGAGTAGCTACCAAAAAGATTAACAGCCATGTCATTTGAATGTTGATGAACAGTCCTCTAAAATGTTTTGAAAAGATGTAGGTCTATTAAGATAGGGACTTAGAGATTTGCACATGAAGCAGGTTTTCTAAGACCATTTGTCTTAAAACATACAGTAGTTCATCATAATAGTAAATTGAAATATGATAGATTTATCTTTTTATGCAGCTTAATAACAAGGCTTAATCTCCTTTACAGAAAAAAGTGGGTTATTAATGTCTAAAATATTTTGACAGAATTTAGATTTCTCAAACTGTGTTCTTCCCATATTTCTCTTTTAAGAAAGAAATGTATTTCTTTCTTGAAAAACAAACATTAAGGGTTTTGCCCTTAGAGGAGGGCTGTGTCACACTGGTTCTTCGAGAGCATCAACAACTGTCTGCTTTGGATTAGCAGGAGAGGTGGGGGCGAAGTCCTAATGGCAGGGGAGGACCCTTGCTCACTGATGCCCATCCTGCTGCGCCCAGGGGAGACAAGGGGGGCAGGCGCAGGCTGGTGGTGTAGTTCTGCTTACTCAGATCATCAGTTAGTCTCTTGGTGCACTGAAGGCCTTGCCTCTGGTTGTGCTAAGTAACCGTAAAATTTTTTCTCAATTGTGCTGATTTATGTCTTGATGTTCTTATTTTTTCCTTCTGAAACATTTCTGGGTTTAAATTTTCAGAAGAAGAAATTAGTTTTAGCCATCTAAAACAGTATTTAAAAACTGAATAATCAAATGTTGCTTTTCTTCCATAAACCAAGACTGAAAGGAATAATTGCTTAGTTTTGACAAGTGAACCAAAGAAGTATGACATAGAAGTGTTACAGCAATACATGCATGAAAACTAGGCTGTCATGTTTACATGGTGATTTTTTTTCATTTGATGAATTTTTCAAACAGTTCCTAGTCTGTAAACTATACTGATATTTTTTCCAAGGAGCATAAGCTTCTTTTGGCTGTAAAGAGTTAGGATTAAATATAAATACATAATTTTGATTGCGCAGCTATTTTATGAAAACTGTAACTCATTCCAAACTGTTAGTATTTTTGCAGTATATATTTATATATCTATTATACAGTTTATTTTACATCAATCACTGATTGTTCTACAAGACAGTTGAATAAAAGATGGTTGAGTTATAGGTATTGAATGGAGTTAAAATTACATTCTGTGTAAACTCTTTGTAAGAGAAAAGGGTGTGCATGACCAAGTTGGTAAGCAGTATCATACGTGAAGAAAGAGCTGTATTTTCAGTATTCCTTTTATCTCGGTTCTGTTAACTGCTGTTTAACAGTTTCCACTTAATTTCTACTTTTAATTAGTGTCTTTAATTATAAAAACATCTGTTAAGTTTCATATTAAAAGACTGACATTTCCTTAATGCTTTAAGAAATGTATTTGGTTTACATCCAGGCGTTTTCACCAGCAAGTGATTGACTTTCAGCTACATCCCAAAATGTTGCAAGTGTTTGAATTGTTATTTGCAAAGGGGTATGCTGCCACTTCTGAGAATTTAAGAAAACACTTTATCCATTAAATATTTTATATTGGTGTGCTGTTAATGGAGCAAGATATTATGCTTTGGAGTACTTCCATGTTTTTTCAAATGCTGCTTTGGAATAGCAAAACCAGAAATGTGCATTTCTGCTACTTTTAAGTCTACACGTATGATCAAAACCAATCATCTTGACCTTGAATATTAATTAATTGATGTTCTTTTTAAACATGTATTTTGCAGGCAGTTCACTTAAAAAAAATCAATCTATTTTTCTAGTAGTGCCTCTAGATAACAACCAACACTGTAGCTGCTTTGTAAAAGAATATTGCTTGCGGAAAATTTAACGTCTTTATTGTATTTTTTTTCCCAAACTGTGCATATGAATATTATGTTTTTTTCTCATGTTGTTGCTGCAATATGGATAGTATTAAATACTAAATACTGTGACATATTAAATAGTAGATATGAAATATACTGGTTATTAAGAAGGTTCCAGAATTTATATAATATTTTTCCTTAATTTTGGTTGTAAGTCATCACTGATGGTAAAATCAATTTCATTATTTCTCCACAAGAGTATGCAGAAAAAAGTACAAAACAGGGGGGAAAAATTGCTAATATTTTGCTTCTGATATAAAGACACAAAGGTAGTGTATTAATTTGAATAGGCTAGTGGATTTGACCTGTGTTTAGTAAGATGAGTACATAGAAGGATGAAGCTTGGTCTAGTCTGGATTTTTATGTTTGCGTGTATTTGCAATGATGTGCTGAATTTCCAGAAAAGAGTTACTTCCTGGACAGAAATTATAAGTATACAGAAAATAAGTTGACCCTGCAATATGTTTGTTGTTTTTAGTTTCCATTTATAATAGTGAGAATTTTCTTTCTAAATCTTAAAAAAAACTGCTGCTGTGATTAAGGTAAGAGAACTGATTTCTTTATACTAAAGAAATGCAAGATACTATGAAACTTATCTCAGCACTTGTGTTCCTGGTTTCCCTCTGTAGCAGTCTATGCAGAAGTATAATAATCTAATATTAATATTATGATATTATCTAATGTCTCCAAAGAACAAGATGTTCTGTACTTTGGTAATTCTAGTCCACATATTTCCATTATTTAACAATTTTGCATTTGTTTTACAGATTCTAAAGATGGAATGGGGAGGAGAATATTCTTTTGATTCTTCCAATTTAGACTGTTTGTTAAATGTTCTTCCTGGAGAATTGGAATTTCAACAAATCCTTAGCGATCTTGATGAAAAAATAAAGAAGAACTCTGCCAGGTAAAGAGTATTTTATTTGTATCCAAAATACTAGTGAAAGTCATTGTATTTAGGAAGAAATGTGGCTTAACTTCTTTTAACTTTTCTATTAGTAGGTTAAAATTCTGATAAATAACTCAGCAGTAATTTTATTTTAACCACTTGAGCATCTGACAAAATTTTAATGCTGTATAATTATTGTGCTATAGTTTTTCTGTGGTAGTTTTAATAATTGTATCATCTTAACCTGAGGTTCTGTTGCAGTAGGTGTGATAGTGAAGGAAGAAAATGTGAATTTCCATGACATTTTTATTTTCTATTACTATGAGATAGAATTTCCTATTAATGTGATATTTATTGGCTAAAAGAACTACAGAATTTGACAAAGCACAAAATTTAAACTTAGTATTTTGTTTAAGCATTTCTAATGCAAGTAGAAAAAATTAATTAGATTAATATATGTATATTATTTTCTTGTGTGATCCATTGTTTTACTATTTTAGTTAAAATTCTTGTGTTGCAATTACACATTTTTTTTCTATGATTTAGAATATATTTCTTTGTCCACTTCCATGTAACATATTGATTTCCAAAAATCAGTGTTACAGAAAAAGTGGCGTACTAAAAATGTTTGTTGTTGATGCAGATTTTTTCTAAGGATTCTGTGCCTTATTTGTACCTCTTAACTCTTTAGTATCTTCATAATACTTTCATCAGTGAAAGATGCTCTTAAGCAAATAAAGTTTTTGTACATTATAAAAAATAAGTATACAGTCAGAGATATAACAAATGGTAGGATTTTATATTAAATTTTGAAAATGCTCACCTTTGTGAGCATCTTCAGGTATGAACAAGTGCATCCTAAAGTCTGATTTCAAAAAACATCCTTCATGACATCTCTTTTGAGATTGCGTCCTTTTAATGTAGCCCATGTTTGTTAGAGATCTTTGTTCCCAAACAGCTTCTGGAAGGATAGAAATAAACCATTACCATACCTCTCTGAAAATTGACTTAGATAATTTCTCAATTATTGTCATATTGGTTATGCTAGGCTAAGAGGGTTTTTTTGAGTTTTTTTTATTTCTATTAGTCTTACCTCCCATTTTCATTTAAAAACATCTTGTTCACTAAAGTACTTGCAGTATTTACATACCATTACAGTAGGAATGGTAGTGAAGATCAGGTAAATATGCTGTTATGGACCACTGCATAATACAATTTCATGTTAGAGTTTTCCAGCTGTTGTCATGAGTGAAATGTAGATACTTATAGATTAATTTATGTCATAACATAGTTAATTACACAGATAATTAAGTTTCATGTGTCCATGGTCTTGTATATCTGGGAAAAAAAAATCAGCATTTTTAGCTTAACTGTTGTCACCTCTTCAACTACCAATTAAAAGTGATTTTGTTGTGATTGTGCAGAGATATCCTGAGAGTTAGGAAGATTATTCTCAAAATGAACCTTTAGAATGAATGCTTTTCTACTATTTTTTGTTTTAATGTGTGAAAAATGTATGCTGCTTGTTGAGAAAACATCTGACTATGGGAAGGGAATCCAGCTGTTCATTCTTTTAAGTGGTACTTTATAGCCACTTAACATTTTATGTTACATTTTACATTAACATCATCACAGTGGAAGTTGTTTGTGTGTCTTGAAGGAGACTGATTGTCACTGTCTTACCTATCTAGTCCTACAAATTAGAAGGAACTTTTACTGTAAGTTTTGTGAGATCCAAATGAATTTGGAATTTGGATTAGGATGTGATATACAGCAATGCAGGTCAGGAAAAATTTCTGCTGAATTGACACTTAAGCTAGCTTTAACCTTATTTTCACAGGGAAAAACAGGAAGTAGCTCTGTAGTTACTAGGTGCTATTTTGCTCCTGTAGTATGTCAGTTTCAGAAATTGAAAGAGTTTAAAATAAGATGGACAGCAGCTGATGTGACTTTTAAATTAAAAAGAGTCCTTTATTGCTAATATATTAGAGGTAGCATAGAATGAAATAATTTTCAAATTACCATTGATCTTTGTAAGTGGTATGATAAGAGCATAAGTTCTATGTGATACAGTGATACAATAGAAATACAATATTTTTCATCAGATAGATTTATACTTCTATTAGACCACAGAGAATGAACACAATAGTATACATCATATATATATATATATATATATTTAAAAATAAAACATTGAGTAAAAAATTATGAGGCAAGTCTGTATAAATCATTCAACTGCTCATTTATTACCTTCTTTTATAAAATTGTGTGACGTGACAAATCAGATATGGTTTTTGGCTGTTGAATTACCTTCAGTATTTTTGTACTGTACCAATTCTATTTGATGCTGCAACAACAAAAAAAAAGGCCATCTATGTGCAGTTGTGTTATATGCAAATTTTAATGTAGTAAGTGATTCATTCATTCACTGTTATGTAACAGAACTCTTATTACACTTGAATGTTAATTTTATTTTTACAGCAGTTTATAGAAGCAGGTGAATATGAAACCTCAAAACAATCATTGGTGGCCTGTTTTGGGTAAGGGGTAGTCTCACATTTATTCTCAAGTGTGAAGTTGTATTCATCAGGTTGGCCATTTGTCTTCATTCTTTCCTTTCATACTTTGACTTTTACTGCTTATCAAAACCGAGTATTTGGATTATTTTTCTGAATTGGTGCTTTAAGAATTACTAACATTTCACTTGTTAGCAATTCACAGAACTAAGCTTGCAGCTTATATTTAATACTTCTAAGCAGGAAATACAGTACAGAGCTTGAAACCAAACCTATAGTTCATAACTTGAAATGATTGCTAAGTATGAGTTCTCTCCAGCAGTTGATTTTTATTTCTGTATTCAATTTTTTCTTCAGTGAGTGCTGCTTTTGATTTTTATTTCTGTATTCAGTTTTTTTCTTCAGTGAGATGTGATAAAGCAACAAGATTTTCTGAGACTGTAGGACAGTAGGAGATATTCTACATCTTCATCAACAGAACAATTGCTTAGAATTTAACACAATTACTTAATAGTAATTGTATCTCTACAGCACCCTGGAGACTATAAATTTGTGACTACAAAAGCCTAATTTGACTTCAATCTGATAAACTTTGTGTTGGTTTAACACAGCCTGTTTTTTTTTTTTTTGAGGAGGGAGAGGGAGCCACAGAGGTGCTTTCTGTGAGAAGCTACTGGAAGCTTCCACAATGTCCAACAGAGCCAGTCTCTGATGACTCTGAAGATGGACATGATGCCGGCACAATTAGAGGAGTTGTCAATGCCTCTGTGATCACACATTTAAGAAGAAAATCTGCACAGGAGCAGAATTTTCTCAGGGGTGGCTAGGCACCACTGCCCACAGTCTCAGCGCTTCGTGCACAGCCATGTGGCTGCCGCCGCGGCCGCCACCATCTCAGGACAGCCCGTGGTGATCTCTGCCTGTCTGGTTGTGCCTAGCCAGCTGTGCTGCAGGCAGAAGGTCAGGGGCAGCGACATTGGCTTCTCCCACCTGGTACCCTGCATGAAGAGAGGCACTGAATGGTGCCAACACCATGGCAGCTGCATAGTGGTGGCAGGGCCACGTGGCCAGCAGCAGAAACATGGAGAGCAATTCCCCCACACAGAACCTAGACAAAATCAACTTCTCAGTGCTGCAAGATCTTGCAGATAACTTTAAAAAGGTTGAATTTGTTGGCAATGGTGCTTAAGAGTATCAGATTTTTTCCTAATCAGAGAAAGAGGAAGTGAGGACATGTGAAAAAAGACCACATAGCGATGCTAAGATCAGTGAAAAGAAAGAGGGAGAGGAGGTGCTCCAAGCATTGGAGTCGGTATTTCTCTGCAAGCTGTGAGGAGGACTATACTAAAACAATCTATCTCCCTGTAATCCATGAAGTCAATGGGGGGATGCAGAGATCCAGTCATAGCTTGTGGAAAAAGTGCTCATGCTGGAGTGGGTGGATGCTAAAAAAGAATCTGTAATACAATGGGAGACCAGAATAGAGAGAGAAGGCCCTTGTTTCCAGGGGCAGAGAAAAGAGGGCCCTTGCTTCCAAACTAGAGTAGCTTATCCTTAAAGGACTACACCTCATGAACTAGTGACTCGTGCCATGGCAGTTTTGGGAAGACTGTTTTGCCCATGGGAGGGACTCATGTTATGTTATGTTATGGTGGGAGGTTGGGAGGACTGCTGCTTGTTAAATTAGAGCCACACAGGAGAAGTTCAAGGAGAACTGTTTCCCATGGGAAGGACCCCATAGCATGGCAGAATAGAGATTCCTCTCTCTAAAAGCAAACTGAAGAAGTATTTCGACTGACAAACTGACCAAGCACCTCCACGCCCTGTCTCTCTGTGCTTTAAGTGGGAAGGAGAGAGGGGCTAGGGGGCAAAAGGTGTTTTAAAGGGTTATTTTAGTCATAATCCCTTTCTGACTCTGCTAATAACAAATTTACTTTATACCTTTAAGTTTGAGCCTGTTTTGCCCTTAGAGTGTTTTCTCCCAATCCTTATCTCAACTCATGAGCCCTTTGTTCTGGTTTTCATGGGTGCCTGGCAAGTTGACCAGTGTCAAACCACGACAAATTTCAACCTGACCTAATTAACAGTAGTTTAGTCATAAGGATTTTGAAGGCTGCAATGAGGTCAATGCTAGTAAGCACTTATAGCATTGCATCTTTTCCCATGAACATTTGATAGAAATTATGATAATTATTTGAGAACTAATAAGATCTTTACCTTGGGAATCATAGATCCAAAAGGTGTCTCAGTAAGGATGTTAGTATGACGTGGTCCAGCTGTTGACCATAACTTTGCTGATTTGCTAAGAAATGCTTATCGATATCAAAACAAAGGGATGGAGGAGTTTCAAACAGGGTATTAAGTCAAACTATCTCATTCCATTTTCCCTGTATCAGAACTGATGTGTACAAGGGCCTATGTGTTCTTAAACTGAGATATTCAGCAGGAGTGATACTTTCTGTCTTATTTTGAAAAAAATCTTGGCTTGTTCTACTTAGGAATTTTCAAGAAGCAGTTATGCCCCACATACATGTTAGTCAAGAGGTTTATCAAAATCTTGGCTTCTTCAACCAAAATCTCAAGAGTAGTTGAGTATTTGAGAGAATTTCAAATGAGGGCTAATTGTAGAGGAAAAAATATTATTTATTTTATAATACCAGGTTTACTCAGATCTAATATTTATCAAAGCTTTCAAAAGTAATTTTACTCTTTTGGGTGAATGTAGCTGGTTCATTGTACAAATGTATTACTTTAGTGTTTGCCTGAGAATTTAATGCCTGTAAAAATATTACAGCAATGTTATTAAAACCTTTGTCAGAATAGTAGTTGTCTAGTCTAATCACTTTGCAGGATCAATTGCTAGCAAACTGAGGAAGGAGTGTAATTTTTTGTCCTGTGCAGACTGTGTTGTCTTTGTGCATAATCACTGAGTCTGGGTTAGTTGTTACATAGCAACTTGCTAACTGGGCAGCACAGTTGCTCAGAAATTGGCTCTTTTATTGACACATGTTCTTTATTTGAATATTCAATGATTATCACTGTGTCAGTACCTTAGATGGTTAATTAGCTGTCATCTACATCTACAGAAGCTGTAATCAGATCTTTGACTGCCCTGTGAAGTATCCCGTTTCATTTCATACAAGCATATATGAGATGATGGGTTTTGAACCCTTATTTGTCACTGTCATGTTTTAGTCAATGGAGTTGAAAAACTCATGTTTTACCGCCTGTCTTCTGAAATAACTTACTAAGACAAAGCTTGCATCTTGTGACAGAAATATCTCAAGCTTTTAAAGCAAGAGTGGAAATTAAAGGTGGGCGGGCAGTGGTTCAGTTAGAACTGACTGTTCTTGTATGTTTAAGTTGTTGTGTAACTATCTTGCTAAAGTGTAGCAAAGCCAACACCATTCTATTTCTTCTGGTTTCAATGATGCCATTACTTTACAGTTAAGAGTGGATATATTTTGTAAGGAGCTATGATGCTAAATTAGAGATACGCAATAGTTTTCAAAGTCCTCTAAACAGGTGCTGTGTCTTTGGTTTACATCTTAGGGTTCACGATGAAGAGAAACTTTAACAACTAAAATGTCTGTGTGAATTACGCTGCTTAAAGTCTTTCTGCAAATTTTTTACTGCTCACAGCAGGTTTTCTGATATACAGACTTCCAAATGATAAGACTTTTTTTTGTACAAATGTCCTATACGTCTAGCACTCAAGCTTTTTAATAACAGTAGTTTTATAACACTGCTTGCATCTTCAACAGCAGTGAAAACAATTATATCATTTATTTTAAAACAGTCTGTTCTGAATAAAAGACATGTAAACTGATTCTAAAGCTGTGTTTCAGCTTTAGAATGAATGTGAGGATCTTAAGAATAAGGAACACGAGGTTAAAAGATAATTTCATTTTATAGCTTAGTAGTTTAATTTAACCAATGTCATTGTCATTTTATGGCTGCTCCCTATGCCAGGTGAAATAAATTGAAATGTGCTTGTTAGAAATTGAAACTTACTATTGAATACTTCAGTTTACTCATAGTAATCTTAGACAATAGAAAATTGTATATGGAGGGGGAAATCCTTGTTCTGATACCGTACATTTCAAAATAATGTTATGTGACTGTATGATAGTATTATAGTGCTTATTATATCATTCCATTGCAGTACTTTTTAAACTGTTTGTCCATTGATGAAGCCACTTAAGAAGCATTCTCTCCAGATGATTAGGTTATTTGTAAAAACTATCATTAACTTAATAAATAAGAGCACCCAAGAGCACCTACATGGAGATTGTCTCTCTGCAGTGCAGGTATTTATCAACTGTTTCTCCAGAAAAGCACTCCAATGTGAACACAGATAATATAACACAACTTTGCTTTAGTTTGTTAAAGAACTGCAGGCACTCTTACCTGTAAGAAGGAGAAGGTATTTCAGTCAAATAATTTTCACTTGCATAATGGTATGCTAGGAGTACTAGCCACAAAAAAAAGCCCACAAAGGCTCAGGGTACTATTTGTGTGAAACTAAAGATTTGTTTATAGAAAAATCAGTTAATTAAAAAAAAAAAGTACAAGCATAGCTATCAGGTTTCTTTTCTACAGAGAAAGGTTATTTTTTTTTGTTGAGGTTTTACATCCCACTCCTTCCTTAGTAGTTGGTCACTGGATTTTTTTCTGTTTGTGTCTGAATAGTTCCACAGGTTCCAAAAAAAAAGGTTGAGTCATCTGTGGACAAAAAAATTATTGAGGGTCATTAAATTTGCATGTCCATAGTATGTATATAATATCAGTTGAGATCATCTGGGTTAGTGCCTCAGTATGTTCAAAGAAGGAGCTAGTTTGCTACTCTGAACTTAAAAAAAATACATTTGCACTTAATGAAAAAATATTACTCGGCAAAAAGGAATCTAGCACTTTGTATTTGGCTTTTAAAAAAATTGTACTTTTAAGAAAATTAATTAAATACATTAAGTATATTTTTCACATCAAAATTACTTTTTTGTTTGCAGTTTCTGAAACTTTAGGAAATTTCTTTTCTAAACCAGGAAATCAAAAACTCATTCTACCTACACTAATATGAAATTATGAAGTTTTTGATACCAGCCTAGGTGGTGAGAATAATTTTAATCATATTTAACAGAAGTCTTTTTTTTACTTAAAATGTTTGCTTTCTAAACTCAGATAAAACACATACTTTTTTTTTAAGGTAACAAATTCCTAAATATTTAATTCATGTAAAGGAATAAGTTACTGTAATTAACTATGTTCTTGTCTTACTGAGTGTTGACAAAATTCTTAGTAAGATGCAGCAGTGGTTTTGAAAACCTGTTTAACTACAATATTCTATAAATAAATAGGACGAAAATATTTTATTCAATCAAAAAGAGCTTTAGTCCTAATTAAATGTTTATTTTGGAAGGATAAGAGGATTAAATAAAATGAGCATGGTTATCATGATTTATACTTGTGGGGGACGTAAGGAGCAGGGCAGTGACACTGAAATCTATCCATTTAATCCCCTTATCAGTACTGGGGCAAATTACCAAAGTGTCTGGTCTTGAGAAGGCTGTAGTTTATTCATATCTTGTAGTTTATTAGCTTGCTCACAGATTCATATATCAAAGATAAGTGTAAAAATTCACTCATAATAGTAGTAGATTGGCACAGATTTAACAACAGTAGTATCTTTTATACTGCATAATGTTGTAATATATTTTGGTATGTTTAAGATACATCAGCACACCACAATAAGAGCCTTTGACAGGTGGAGCCAAGGTGTATGAAAAAAGCATTTAGTTTCATAGTCCTGAGAACAGGTTTCACAAACTAAAAATACTTGCCAATCTTTTGTCAAGTTTGGAATTCACTGGAATTCATGTCTGGGCTATTAAACCCAGTTTTGCCAGGATCTAAATTCTTTTTTCCTTATTGAAACTGTATAAAATATTAAGCATTGCTTTTGAAAAAAAATGTAGAAATGAAGTACCAAAAAGGTGTTTTTGTAGGAAAATAAATAGAGCTAGATTGTTTTGGATTTTTTGTTTTGTTTTGTTTTTACTTAAATGTCCATGCAAGTAGAAATAAAACAATTCTGGATATTCAGTTGTTCTTGTGATCTTTGCAACTGAAGTCACTGTAAAAACCTAACGAACACATCTGGTTTCATAAAAGAGTTATGATTCTCATTGAATTTTAAGGAGTGGATCAGCTCCTTGAACACAAAGTCTGTTTTCTTTCAAATATTCTAATGACAAAACAAGAAAGAAAAGATCTGCTTTCTCAGCACAACTGGCTCTAAAGTTCTTTTCAACATTTTCTGTGATGTCAGTAGATCTTTAAGAAGTTATTAATATATCTTATGTTTTATAAAACAACTGCTGATTGCTAAAGGAGCAAAATGACACATTCACCTTTGAATGCAGTAATTGATTCAGTTTATAGTCTCTGCTTTAGCTAATTAAGTGCTAAGGACCAGATATTAGGTTGGCTAATGTCTTGTTCATTAACTACTTTATTAAAAAGATTGTTTGAAAGTGAAGCTGTACATACTCTGGCTAAGGATGGTACCGTCTGGCCTGAAGGAAAGTTTTTTTAGCTCCAGCTCAAAAGTACTTAAATGTTAATTATTAATTCTGCAAATTCAGGTCTTATTTTGTGAGGGTAGCTTAATCTGTGAATAAGAAGGATTAGTGTTACCTTAATTTTAAGTAATTTTTCTTTTTTAAATATAGCAAATATAAAATACTTTTGTCGCCAAATAATGAAATCCTGTGCTTTTTCTTTTTTTTTTTTTAGCATAGAAAAGTGTCTTAAGGACCTGCAATCAGACATAAATGAAATATGTACTGATGAAGTACTACAAAGCACAACTGACTGCATTCAGTGGCTAAATAACTGCAATTTTAGTTCTCTCAGACCTTCTTCTACAGACCATAGAGAGCTGCTGGAGTTCCTAAAGACCCTGGTAAAAATTGTTTATTAAAAACTTTAATGTTGGAAAGTTCATTATACGATTGGAGGTGGGGAGGTGGGTGGATGACTTCAAATCATTTTCTCATTTCAGCCTTTACTGTCATGAGGAGAGTTCACAAATCCATGTCTGCAGCAGGGTGTTATGTTTCCTTTTGATCATGCCTTAAATAGACAAACTTGGAACAAAATCTTTTCACAGATGCTACCATATGTTCAGCACTGCTTGGATTGTTTTATAAAACACATGTTGGTAAAAAAACATTGGAAGTTACTGTCTACAACTGAGGCTGTTAGTGTTACTGAATATTCTTCACTTATATCTGTATGAATTTAACTCATCTAAAGTTATTGTCCTTTATGCATTATTCTAAACTTCCTACCTGCTGTGTGGCCAAAGGGGTAAGTGATAGATGCCCCATCCCTGGGAATGTTCAAGGCCAAGTTGTATTAGGCTCTGAGCAGCCTGGTTGAAGATGTCCCTGCTCATTGTAGGAGGATTGTACTAAAGGAGCTTTAAAAAAGCCCCTTCCAATCCAAATGATTCTATGTTTCTGCATTTCTCAATGAGAAACTTGGGAACTACATTCTTTGCTCTATCAAGTTATACTAGATGCACCCAGAAATCAAATTTCACTTCAATGAAGTACCATCATTTTAGAGAGTATTTTTATAAAAAAAACTTTTATTTAAAGTTTGCATTTGAATATACTGTGGAAATGGAAGTCTAGAAGATTGAATTGGCAAGATAATTGAAGGTTAATCCCTCAGTAAATGATGGTCTTCAAGTTTATATATAAACTTTCTATGTATGCATTTGATATGGTACATATATATGAGGTCAAAACATCTAAACAGTGATTATTCTTTGTCACTTCTATGTCACACTTCTGTGTCATGCTTTAGTTGCAGTCCATGAGCAACTTTAGGCTAAGATTATCTGTAATGGAAGAGGAAAACTTTAGAGAAGTGGAGTGTTTCCTCTGGCTAGAGCACAAGCTTGATAAAATCAGCTCTTGGGTTTTTTTTTTTAACTCTTAGAACTTTTCTTGGTCTTTAAGTCACCATTCATTCCATTGGATATTGACCTGTATCAAATGAGGAAGTAACTTTTAGAGACACCAGGTCTTGAATGTTCATGTAGTGATGAGTGATTTTGTTCTCTTCTGACAAACTATGAATGTTGCTATTAACAATCATCCCATTCAAGGATGTCAGAGGCTGCTACACATCATACTTGATCTAGATGAAATTAGGGAATGCCAGAAAAAGCTGACTATGAAGTTCCTGCTTTCAGGAGTCTTTTGTTATTCCTCTTATTCCACTCAGATCCTTACTGCATTCCCTCAGAAGGTTCTTGGCATGGCACTGATGACTTACTTGTGTCCATTCCCTCTTACTTCCTTCTTCAAGGTCTGTTCAAGCCATATGCCTGAACACCAGGTGGCGGCATTTGTTTGGAAAACACTAAAATGTCCCCATTTTACACAAAATGTGCTTTCCAGCTCTCCAGCTTCCAGGGAGCTTACTAACGGCATGACAGTCTTGCTGTAAGCTGTAGTATCCAGTTAAGCGTTGAGAACGGCTCTGTGGCAGACTGCTTAACAGACAGTAAAGTGAGAAGCCTGAAAATCTCAATTCTGCAGTTTATAATGAAAACCGTTTTGGAGCTCAGCAACTTTCACATCACTATTTCTAGGCTCATGGCTTCTTAGATAATCCAGCCTGTTGTGTAGATGGAATTACAGATGAGAAATGTATCTGTACTGTCTGTATCTGTAGTACTGACTGTACTACAGTCTGTCTGTAAGAAGTCACATTCAGTTCCGTAAACAGGTCTACAGTAAACAATTTTCAATAATATTCAGCATTAATGAGATTATTATGATCTTACCTTTCTTAAATATATATCTCTATCCATTGAACTAATTAGATAATGTCTTCTTGCATGTTTTAAATTAAGTATATATAATTCATATTCAGTATCAGGAGCCTTCTACTGCTTCTTTCTACTTCAGAACAATATCCGTATTCATTGTTATAGTTTATTATATGTATTTATTTTGTTAGGAATTTTGTCTATCTTTAAAGCTGTTGGGAAAATTTAAAAACATTGCAAAATTCTTTTTGGGCTTTGCCTGAGGTGCTATATTTAGGTTTATTGTTATTGTCATGCATTTGTAAATTTTTATGAAAATACTGATAATTTCTTCATGAAGCCTGAAAATGTTAATTATGTGAAATTTTGTCATTCTCTGTACTGTCTTTTAACTCTATATTTAAAAGCTGAATATATGCACTAACACATTGTCATTAAATTCTGTTCGTGATAAAATAATGGCAGATTATTTTTTTAATGAAGTCTTCATCTTACTGTACTTGTTTATTGATGTGGTAGGTAGCTGTGTGTATTATGCAGTAATCCAGATGGTAAACTGTAACTAGTTTTCTGTATATTATTGTTATGACTAACTTTCTGGGCTCAAAACGGAACCTTTTATGCTTCTCCAAAACCTTTGGATACAAATTTGGATCTTTTTCTTTCTAGGTATTGTTATGTCTAAAATAGCATCTGCAAGCTCCTGTTTTTAATGTTGTAGTTTAAATTGTGAAGGGCTTACAACAATCCTTAGATATATAAAAATATTTCTGCTTTGCCTTAAAAAGCATCAGGTGCATGCACTGTTTTGACAGTTTCTCTTACTTTGTACATTTCAGAATGTAGTATTTAAGCATGATTCATAAAAAAATCCCCAACATTTAAAGTCCGGAAGTCTACTTGTCAAGGGACAACCTTTCAACACAGTGGTTAGTAATCAGGGTTTCAGTTTACACTTTGAAGCACATTTTTCTTTGGGGCCACTAAACTTTATAGAATAGTTCAGCTGAGAATAAAAGAAAATCAGATTGGTATTATGCATTTTGATATATATGATTTAAGATTTGAACCAGTTACACATATTTTTATTACATGCATATGCTTTTGTAGAATGATATTCCGTTGATAATTTCCTTTATTATTCTGTCTTCTGCATATTTCTTGCTTGTAAGTAAGAAGATTTAGTAAGAATTATTGTGAAATAAAGATCTAAAATAGAAGAAAAATAGGTAGTTGTTATTTTTAAGACTTTCTTTATAAGGGGCAATCATGCTCCCAGTCTGTTATTCAGAATTAGGTGCTGTAGTGAAAGTGGAAGTTTTTTTTCAAGAAACTCTGGTCAGAGTAGTGGACAACAAGGTTAAACCCTCTAAGGTATGTAACAGGTTTGAAACATCCAGAACAAAGAATAGGTGTTCTGAATTTTAATTTTTTTCTCACTCTAAAGCATAATTGTCTATTGATAAAATCTTGCTTCAGGGGAAAGATTTAGTATTTGGCATTCCAAAATAGTGATATTTATGAATACCATACTCAAATTTGAATAATTTACCTCTCCTTCAAAATGGGAACAGAAATAAAAATAATATTTTTTTCAAATACTGTAAGTTAAATAAAACAGCAATGCTGAAGGTGGAAGGTAGCAAAGGTTTCTTTACCAGCCTTGCTTTACAGGATGGACTATGATTTGCAGACTGTGCTTACTTCTAGTGTCTAGTACAGGGCAATGTTTTGGATTTGTGCTGAACACACAGCACAATATAGAGGTTTTTCTATTATTGCCAAGCAGGGCTTACGCAGAGCCTTTCTGCTGTTCATACTGTGACACTGGTGAGGAAGTTGGTGATGCATGGGAAGGTGGGAGGAGACACAGCCAGGACAGTGACCCAAACTGACCAAAGAGATATTTCAGACCATGTGGCATCAGGCTCTGTTTATAAAATATGAGGAAGAAAGAAAACACGTGTGTCTGAAGGGGTGACCTGATGATGAGTGATGCTGTCCTGGAGATGGCTGACCACCTGCCTGCCGTTGGAAGCAGTGAAATAATTCCGTTTTGCTTTGCCTGTGTGCATGGCTTTTGCTTTACCTGTTAATCTGTCTGTCTAACAGCCCATGAGTTTCGTGGCTGTTACCCTTCTGATTCTCTCCTTAGTTCTCCTGGTACAGGAGTGAGCAAGTGGCTGCCTGGGGCTTGGTTGCTGGCTGGGGTGATACTATGACAGAGACCCATAAAAAAGACATGACTGGAGTGAACCCCCCTGAGGGGATTTGCCACAATACTTTTCACTGTTGTAGAGAAGCAAAGGGAGACGAAGGAGTAAGTGAGAGGGCTTCTAGATACTCATCCACTTAAAGCTTTCCTACTGAATCGAAGAAAATTGAAAATACCACCGATTCCACTGTTTTCTTGTGTCAGTAGTATTAAACTGTGACAAGAGGAGCTGCCATTTGCTGCATGACCTCTTGAAGCTGAAGCTTCAAGCTCTGAGGTCAGAGATCCTAGCCCTGATCTGAGAGAGAGCTCTTCAGACTTGAATGAAGAAGGAGCAGCAGCCATGTGTTTTCACTTACTTTGTTACCTGGCTGCTTTCTCCAACCCATACAGCACAGATGTATATGGAGGTCACTAAAATATCAGTCTGTGTGTTGGTTTGATGGGTTACATAGCTTCTTATTCTTCTGTCCTGTGTCATCTAAGGCTCTTTAATTCCTGACAAGTTTTCAATTTCATTCTTTAAGGAAGTCCTGGGAAGATTTTTTTATCCTTAGAATGTATTTTTTTTTATTATTGCCTGCTGAGCCATAGAAAGTGACTGTTTTATGAATCCTTGCTTGGTTTTATGAGAAAAAACTGTCATTATCTGTGTAAATCTGAAGTATTTTTTTCATACCGTTTTCTTTAAAAGATGCTGTGACAACAGAAAGGCTGCCAAGAGTTTCCTTTGAATTGTGGTGTAGAATTGATTGAGAAAAGAGGTTGGGGATATAAGAAAGATGAGAAAATGAGTGTCAGTTATTGGCAGAGGTAGACAAAAAGATTAATTTGCATATAAATCCTGTTTTCCATGGATCTTATAATTTCTGTTGCTTACATACCTTACTTGCTGTTAAGATAAATAGCATAGGAAACAGGTTTTAGTCTAATATTAAGCTGTTCATTTAAAGAACTGGAATTAACAAAAAATTCTAAAATATTGTTTGATTTACCTTTGTTAGCAAAGCTTGTTGAAGAATGAGAAGAATCAAGAAGAAATGGTACTTCACTTCCTTCTGGATCTCTCTAGTCAGTGTGGTGTCTCATTTCCCTGTACTGCAAGCGGGATGTCTTTCGAGTTAACGTCATCAGTTCATACCATTCAGGATGACTCAGCTGTGGATGTGAAATCTCTTTGGGATGATGTGAGATTGCATCTTCGACAATTTTTAGTAAATAGACTGCAAAGTCAAGAAGAAACAAGCACTAATGCTTTACAACAACAAATGGAGTTTAAAACTCAGTGTGTACAGCAGCTTTTGTTTCTTTATCCCAAATCAGAAGTCTTAATGAGGTATCAAAATATGCAGAATAAACTGGTTAGTGATCTTCTGCAAAACTGTATTTTGTCTAGTTGCGGTGAGACAAATTTTGATAAGGTAGTTCATGGTTACCAAAGTTCCATACCCAGATTGTGCACAATGATAAAAGAGGATTTGTATATTCTAAGTGGAACTATTGGTCCATCTTTGTCATTAAAGTTTATTAATGAAACTTACCTGGATACCATCACTGAAGAAATGACAGTTCTTCTTGAAAGACTTTGTGAGCTGCAGTTCAAAGAAAATGCTCTGCACATAGTTAAAGCAAACAAGATTTCAAAGAAGCATAGAGGAAGAGTACACGCTGTGGGTTAGTACTCTTATTTTATGTTCTTGTAGTTAGATATTATTTTAATTAAGCCACTTTTTTTTATATATACTTGATTATTTTCTGTTAAGAGAGAGACCCAAAATTAGTGATTACAGCTTTATGTTTTAAACACATTACTGCAGTTGAACTCTATAGACTTTGTCAGAATTTTGGTGCGAACGAGAGAGAGAGTAACTCATGTAATTAAACAAATCCTATTATAATCCATTGGATAACACTGCCATACCATAGTAAATTTTTTCAGCCTGTTTTATTCCAGAAACTGAAATATGTACTAGAATAAGAACTATTTAATCCAGATTTATATAAACACGAACTCTTAAGTCTTCTACTCCCACTTTTTTTTTTAATTGTCAGACTTTTAAAGGAGATTAAGACAGTACAGTAATGTATCCATAAAACAGATACTGATTCACACATCACAGCTGACCCAAAGATTACTGTGCAGATTCTATTTCTCAAACTAAGAAACAGAGTACCCATTTACGCTTTCTAGTCTTGTGGAAGTACAGTAAGTTTAAGTAATGCTGCCTGGTCATTTTTTCTTGTTCCAAGAAATGTCAAGCAGAAAAGGAATCTATTATTTATGTAGTGTTTTCTGTAATTTCTTTTTGCCATTTTTAAGTCTGACATGCTAATTTCCAGTGCTTTGGAAAAAATAATACAGAATCAAAACTTCCATAACATAATTGCACAATTGTATGTAATTGCTTTTTCAGTGCAGTGTTTGGAGCACACCTCTGTGCTTTTTTTTTTTTTTTTTTGTGTGTTTGTTTAAAGCATAACTTTCCACAAAGTGATTTGAAGACAGAAAATACTGAAAGTTTAGATTCATGTGAAAAATACAGAAACAGAAGATCTTTGAATTGTGTAGCATAAAGAAAGGATTAGTGAGGTGATGATTTGTCAGGTCTACAAAGAAGAAAATTACATACTTCTGAGCTTTAATGTAAGCATATGTGTTAGTGTTAGTCAACTAAAAATTCCAGTGGGAGAAATGCAAAGATTACTTTCAACAAGAACTGAAATATGGAGGAATACTGGAACATGTGAAAGACAAGGAAAAAGGCATGCAGACAAATAAGTAGAAACAATGAGAAGTTCAGTGTATATACTAGTGGGATGCAGTGTTGGTGGGAAACAATGAAAAGAAGTAGTGTCAGAGTCCTGTTAAGCTATGAAATATCAAGAAATGTGTTTTTGAATTACATAGTGAGATGTGAGTCAGTGAAAGTATTCACAGACAAAAAAGTTATCTGAAGCGAAGTTTGTAACTTAATTTTTCTTTCAGTCTCAAAACAGCTCATGAAGATGGAGAAGTTCAGTTATTTCCACTTTACATCTAAAATGTGGAGTTGAAAGTGATCACAAATATGTCTCTGAAAAATCATACTTTATATTACAAGATGGAAAAGTCATTCAATCTACTAATAGAGTACTTCCTCTGCCTAAATTTTTTTTTTGCCACAGGATGCAACTTGACATGTTTTTGTGCCAGTACATCTATCAGTACAGATTTCCAGTGTACATTTCTTTTGTATACTCAAAAACACAGAGGAAGGTGAAAACAAACAAAGTAAATCTTAGGAATTGTTTGCTTTAAATCTTTAAACATTTTCTGCAATTAATTAAAATATAATTTTTCTGTTTCATAAATATTAGACCAGATTTTAATTTTTATTGAAAATTCATTAAATGTCAGATTTCAGATGCAGCAGCTATCTCCTTATCACCCAGAAAATGTCTTTGGAATTGCTGTTCATTAATACAGTTTAATTTTCAGGATTACTTTCTTCACAGGGACGGTTATAGTCATGTCTTCATGTTATTTTACTTCAAGAAGTTAGCATGGGAAGTAGATATTGGTTTGCCTAGTGGTTTTCTACTATTCCTACTAGTTTTCTGTGGAAAACTGCTCATACACACTTCAGCTAGGGAAACCAGAAGGCACCAATAGTGAAATCAGGAATCAGGGTAAAACAAAATATGAGGTCCAAGTTGTGAAGTTTTGAGTGTGATTTCAGGTCTTTTTTCATTTTCTGGGTGTGTCATAGCCTGTTATTGTTATTATTCGTTAATTCAAGCAAAAATTCTCCTTGTATCATAATTAAAACCGTTATTACTGAGTAAGTTATTTATATACAAGGTCATATATGAAGAGTCTTTTTTGGAAAGAGATTTCTCTCCTCTAAATATATGAAAACACTACATTTGTACCACAGTAAGTTATATAAAGGCATTTTTTCCCTTTAGAATTAAAATGTTCGCAAGGCAGTTCACAGTGAAATAACTATTTGGAAAATATTTTCAGAGGTTTGTAACGGTGGACAAGTCAAGTGACTTTTCCTGCTTGGAACTCTTAAATTCTGGTACTTTGTTGCCCTCCCTTTAAGTGGAAATTTATTTTTCCTAACCTAATATAGGTTAGGTTAAAAGACAGCTTTAATAGATTACCTTGACAGTGATACACCATTTGCCAAGTATTAAAAGAATCTTGTGCATAAATATAGAGGGAAGGACAGAAAGAGAAGGTTTTTTTTCTTAGCTGAAAGACAGATCTGTTATTTTTTTATGTATGTTGCCTCTGCCCTCTAGGAGCCGTCAAACCAACACATATCATAATATCAGAATAATTTAATCTAGGGCATTCAGTTGGGACTGTTATCCAAGAGGTGATAGAAGGGTTTGTGTTTGCTTTGACCATCCTCAGGGTAATGCGGTTTTTATTTGATATTCGTTGTGGGTTTTTTCATAAGAAGTGTGGTAATTGATCCTGCTATACAGCATAGGAGAAAAATACCCAGAAAATAATAAAGCAGTGCCAGAACCTCCGAAAACTTTCTATAGACAACCTATTTCTTTTGGGAAAATAGAGATAGTCTATAACAAGCTTTAACAGAGTTATCTTTAAAATATTCCATATATAATAATCTATTTGTGCAGTAAGGAATAAATGGTTTTCTTTTCATTCTGTACTAGAGCAGCTATTTGAGCAGTAAAGAGATTGTTTCCATTTATCAGTATTTAGGAGGTGTGTGGCTTGACAGAGAAGCTGTCAAAATGGCATGTGAAAAGAGGCAAATTTGGGAACTCAGCATCTTTAGTTGCTAGCTCCACTGGAGGCAGGTGGTTTTATCTTACAGCTTGATCCTCTTACCTGTTAGATTTGTGCCTCTTATCACCTTTAACAGTGCAGGATTCAGCCAATAGTATTTGGGCTGTTACTGTGCAAGGTTTTTATATAACGTTAATTATAATTTCTCTGTGTATTCGCAGAACATAGTGTTTCCAGCTTACTAGAATAATGTGCAAGGAATATTTCCCAACCACTCCCTCAAGTTATTTTGGTTATTAATAGGATTTTTTGTTTCAGACTTTCTATTGTATTAATCATTTGTGTCTTTCTAAAGTTTATGTAATATTGTGGTATTTAAAAACATATTAAAAATATCTGTTTACAATACTTAGCACGGAAAGGATCTCAGCTAGTTTTCAGGTTATCTCTCACAAATTTTTGCTTCAATTTCCTATGTGGTATTTCTCAGAAATTATTTGCTGTAAGACTGTATATTGTAGTTTTACCTTTCAAACCTTTTTTGTGTTCCTTTGTTTACAAAACTATTAAGCTGGTTTAATCAGGCATGACTAACTTATATTAATTTGTCATCTGTTATATGAGGAAAGAGCTACTCTTATGGATGATAAGACATCTGTCAGAGAAACTTAAATCCAATGGAATTATGAACAGTTGATGTAGTAGTGGGAGGTTTTCTTTGGCTTTATTTATATAATTTTTGTATGTAAACAGAGTATAAATACTTATGTAGACTAATTAGCTGGGTTTTCCTAATTTCCTGTTGTTAAAAACGAAACAGAGATCAGAGCTTTAAGTTTTAATTTTTCTGACATATTCAGATTGATTGGCCTAATATTTTTAAATGCCACAAACTTTCCAGACACCCTTAAACATTTAAAATCATAACTGAACTTTGTTTTTAAAATCTGAAGCAATGAGGTATTGTGTTCCTAAATATCAGTAGTTTGTAATTTTTAAGAAAAATATTATTGCAAAGTGGAGGTAAACTAAAGTGATACAGATTTAACTAAGCACATTTTTAAATACCTTCAGACATATACTATAATATTAATGTGAGTGTATCACACTTTTATCCCAGTATATATACTTTTAGTTAGATGTCCAGCTGCCTTCCTTTCTCTTTTCTTTCTCCAGAATATAACTTACATCCATTCTATTATAAAGATATATTCAAATGCCAACTGTAATTTAAATTATTATATTTTGAATCTATTATCTTTAAATGTTCATGAGTTCCTACAGAATATACTGTGTTTAAGAAACACCTAAGATGAATATGGTATATAGCTAATCTTGAACAGAAGAACTCACTACCATTTACAGGAGCTGCATTTGTGCAATGGAGCTGAGAGCAAGAAGAAAAACAGGCTCTGGAGTAACTTGTTGAAGTGAAGACAACTTTGAAATGTTAAATTAAAGTACCTAGTATGAAAAGCCTCTTTTGAGATCACTTATATATTCCCAGCAATTTGCCGGAGAGCTAACTTGAGATATGAGTTTCAGTTTTTTCACATTTAACTTAAATTTTATTTTTCTACTATGTTTATGTGCATATGGCTTTATTCTCCCTCATTTATAATTTCTTCTTTTTGAAATTAAGAGCTTTAGTTTCAGATTTGCTTTTATCCTTCTGTATAATTTGCATTCACTTGGTTTGTGATCTCAATAGCCATCGTTATGGCCTACAATAAGTATTCTATGATTTTTGTCTTTTCTATCAAAAATATACTAAAATAGTATTAATACTTGTGTTTTAGCAACTCCATGACTGAAAATACCCCACCTATTCACATCTAGGAATAATTTCAGCTCAGTAACTTCAGTATAGTTCATCTTCCATTTATATCTGGAAATTGAAGAGTTTCAAGCTTGGATTAATGCA